GAGCGTCATAAACTGTGAATGACCAGAGAATAGCTGCCATCCTCTGAATCGCAGCTATTCTCTGTGTCATAAACGGACAGCAATGTCACTAGTTAGATGAAGGAAAAGATCACAGGTAACAAATACATCTTACAAAGAAGAGATACAACGTAACAATTCTAAAGAATGCTGGAAGGAATTAGCAGATAAATGTAACTATTACTACAAATCTTTTTTTGCCAATGCCAAAATAATGGTTACATTGTATTTTCTTTGCCTATTAAGATATAATTATTTCCCAAAAGCATCAATTCAATCTAGAGGTCAAATTCATTATGTTTGTTATGAATGAAGCTATTCTCACCCTGTCCATATTAAAAGAACATTCAAACTGAAGAGATCATAGTTTAAAAACATTCGGTTTTGCCCCATTCTCACAACAGCTGGTTAGTATGCACAGAATGAACGAACATGCAGATTCACTGGATGAATAGCTACACAAAAGGTCTAAATAAAAAAAAAAAAAAAAAAAAAAAAAAAACCAAAAAAAAAAAAAATCAACCCATAGAATTTTGACTTTTACATACGTGCGTACGCAGCTATAAATTGATGCAGCCATTCTATTAGAAGGCAGGCTGTGGTATTTTTTGGTGGGATTATTGAATGGAAATATAGTGGTGAGTGGAGGAAAACGATTAGTTCCAATAACATTTTGAAAAAACTTTTTTTTCACGAATACCTATAAATCTAATGAGAATTTTAATAGAAGTCAGAAGACCCGCATACTTTAATAAAAAGCCAATATGAACATGGAACATCCTTACACACTAGAATGTGCACAACAGACAGTGTTGCAAACATGATCATTTATAAAAACACACCACCACATGAACCAAAGTGCATAAGTTCTTGATGTCAAGACCTGACTTCATGTTATATAAACAAGGAACACTACACGTGTATGTACCGCTATCAGGTTCAAACACCTAAAAGTCTGAGATCAGAAAAACCTAACACTACAGTCTATCTACCGTATAGCAATCTATGTCAAATAAGGCTTCATGCATGGACACAGCTTTCACAGCTCCCAGAAGACTGCCGCACCAATCAGGATACACAGTGGGAATCACGCATGCGCGGAGGGCACCTGGCTGTGAAGCCGTAAGCTGTCACAGCTTGGTGCCCACAGCTGAGATGCCGACACTATGGAGAGAAGGGACGGTGCAGGCGAGTACATTGCTGGACCCTGGACAGGTAAGTGCATGTTTTAATAAAACACAAACGTCTGGAACTCCGCTTTCACTTTGACCTAGGAAAGATGGGTGGCTTTCAGGTTTTTGTAACTACAGTTCAAAAGGAGAAATAGTACATCTATGGGGGGCCAAATCTCTTTTAAAACAGTTATAAAATTTTGCCATCAGAACCATTTCATGTATTGCTGATCACCTCAACTTAATGTGGTCTGGTGTAGGATAATTTGAAGGGAAATCCTCATGAATCTTTACAAAACTTCTACATTTCAAAATGACATAACAATGTTTTCTAAACCTCCTAGCATGAACAAAAGTTATTCTATTTTTGCAAACAAGGAAATGTACAGGATGCAGTAAGTACACTCTACTATGACTGGTTAACTTGCATATATAGGTTTGAAAACCTGTCTCCAAATTTTTTATAGCAGATTTTTCTGAATTTGTGAAAAATCTGTTTATGTAAATAACCTGCAGATAAATCCGAATACTTCATTACACAGTAAATGATTGTCAGGTCTTGACAAAGAACAGTGACAATATACAAAGCACAGTTACCTGCTTCTACATAAGAGTCTGAAGAAGGGTTAGTATCTGAAGAGGTAATATGTGATGGAGGTGGACCTGGATCTGTCAATAAAAACATCAGTATATATTTAAATTTTTTCTGGGGAAAAAAAATCCTTAGACAGGACCCAAGGACAGATGTTAGTAGCTTGTAAATTCTTTAGTGAATAGCTTTGTGTGCTGACAATGCAGTCCAGTAAATAACAGCAGCCAAGCATAATGGCAAATAGTAGCATATAATATCCAAGATTATTATATAGAACACATAGGTATCCCCCATTCTGATACCCCTTTGACCTTTTCCTGCTAATACAAATCCCGCTGTACTCCCAACACTATATTTTACCATTGCTATTCTTTCTAACCTACGACATGTACATGGTCTACTTATATTCAACTTTAGCATCATATTTGAAAGAAAGTGCTATTTCCACAAGAACACTTTCCCTAAATACCATCATCCTATGTTATAACTTTCCGATCAGAAAATACGGCCCTTATATCAGTTTAATAAATCTACAAACCTTTGTCAGAATCACGGTTTACTGCACGTTTTCTCTGCATGTTTATATATTATAGGTGATACTCCGATTCATTGAGATTTCTCAGAGTGATCACTGGGGACACCATAGCATGGCAGTGTTGCTTCACTTGTGGGCTATTTTCCACAAGCTTAGGAAGGAAAAGGCAGTTTTAGCATTATCCTGGAAGGCATAATCTTAGTTTTTTTTTCTTAGGACATCGGGAAGATCAATTGCTTTTACAGAGGGTAAAATTCCCAGACTGAGAATAATTCTGATAGTCTCTTATTAGTGTCATGCTAGGCCCCCAAGCCCCAAGATTCATTGCAAGACTAATTCTGTGCAACCAAAGCTTCCCATCAGTGTTGACTATTATTCTAAAATGGTTAGAAAAGCGACCGGTAATCTGTTCACCTAGGCATCACAAAACAATTAAGTCAGCCATTTGAGAAAAAAAAAAAAAAAAGGTTGCCAGTTAGACCAAGACAATGAATGTAAAGGAGGGGTAAAATCAGGGCTATGTGAAGATCTTCCAAACTAGGCCACAACACACCCCCAATATGAGTGAGCAAATGTTGGAAGAAGCCCACAGCCAATATTTGACCTGCCAAGGCATCTCAGCAGACTATCTAAACACATACAGCTGGAAATGCTAAGCCATACTAAGAATGCTAAGTCATACAGTGGACTATACTACGAAATTTCAAGATGATAACCATAGCCATCATTACCTGGTAAAGTGCCAAGTGTGGAGTTGTCGAAAAACTTAGAAGGACAATAAGGCAAAGATTTGGACCATTCAAAGAATTTATCTTTAGGCAAGTCTGCAGGTTCTGGCAAACTGTTCTTTTTGCAAGGAGATACAGTCAAGTTACTGAACAACTGTCCTTCAGTTCTTAATGGTGACACAGCACGCTTTCTATTCATCCCAGTTTTTCCAGGAGATGAGGCAGGAACACTGTGCCTTAAAGTCTTGTTTGGAGACATCACTTGAGGTTTGGGTAAGCAGGTCTTGCTTGGGGAAATCACTTGAGGTTTAGGCAAGTGTATCTTGCTTCTGGGGGACACTGCACGTCTTCTGTGCATTCCAGTCTTTCCAGGTGATAGTATATGGCTGGGTGGAATGTCAGATTTGTGTGGAGAGACAGTGGCTTGTTTGTATAGCTCACAGCTGTTTTGTGATGTGTCTGTTAATGAACTAAACAAATTGGAAGGAGTTTCCACACTTTTTTCTTTTAGTTTAACCTCTTCCTCTCGACTGGATGTGTTCCTTAAAGAAAAAAAGGAAAAAAAAAAAGAAAAAAAAAAAAAAAAAAAAAAGTTAACTGAACCGCTTTATGAATGAATTATCAAAATATACTGCAACCCTTAAGAAGTTACATTAAAATGGTAAAGTTTTTGTTTGTCTTGTAGAAAGTGAGGTTTTAAATATTTGTATAAAAAAAAATCATAATATAGGGCACTGACTTGCAAACCATTCTGGGTTTTCTAAGTCCAGCCTGGCCTCCATATCTGTCAGCACAATGTGTGTTATAACATACACCTCTGCCAGCTGGGGAGGGGTTTCCCTTAGATATGGGAAATTTTGCACTGTTTTTTTTTTCCGTATCCCTGTTAAAGTAGCAGTCCAGTCAAATACTAATTATAGTTAAGTCTTCTCCCACCCCATTCTACGCCTATCTTCACTACCGAAAGAGCTTTGGCCATACTCTTAACCACTTCACGTCCGGACACTTTCACCCCTTTCAAGTCCAGGCCAATTTTCAGCGCCATCACACTTTGAATGACAATTGCACAATCATGCAACACTGTACCCAAATGAAATTTTCAGCATTTTTTTGCGACAGATAAAACTTTCTTTTGGTGGTATTTATTCATCACTGGGGTTTTATTTTTTTTACTACATAAATGAAAAAGACCCAAAATTAAAAAAAAAAAAAAAAAAAAAAAAAAAAAAAAAGTGTTTTTTCTTATAAAATTTGGCAAACAAATAATATTTCTTCATAAATCTTGGCCAAAATCTATTCAGTTTTTGGTAAAAAAAAAAAAAAAAAAAAAAAGGAATAACCCAAATCAGTTTTTTTTAAAAAAAAAAAAAAAAAAATTTAAAATAATTTTTCAAATTTCTTTTATATTTGTTTTTTTACACATACTGTCACCCTAGCAGTACAGTGTCACCATAATGACACTGTACTACTTGCGGGGGTGAGGAAGTTTTTTTTTTTTTTTTTTTTTTAACACCGATTGCTTTTACACCCATAAAGTCTGTAAAAACAATTTCTCATTCCTGCAGCCATTGAAAAATACTGTGAGAGCTGTGATTGGTCACAGCTTGTCACATGGTACAAGGCTGTTTTGAATAGCCTTGTACCATGTGACCTCTGATCATTCACAGATTTAAGTAGTAAAAAATGTCAGGAAGTGATCATTGTTTACTACTGTTCATGTGATCACTGATTGGCCAATCACTGATCACATGAATCGGGACCTCACACAGTGGTCCTGTACAGTGATCCATATTCCGCTGTGTCCCAGGGAGCGCGCCCAGGCAATGATTGCGGGGGGATGCTTAGAAAGGTCCCCCTGCATGGGCAATGCTCCTGTCTGGCCGTTTATGGGCAAGGGCCGGACCGGAAGATGGCAAAGGGTAATCAAGCCACTTTTACCTTGATAACTGATGGCACTTTTTCTTGTAGATGGTAATTTCTCTTTTCAAAGCAGCATTTTCTGATTGAAACACAAGCATTGCTGTACTTTGCACAATGCCACTACCACCACCGCAGGTCAAAGGATATGATGTGGAGCCATTGTTGTCAGAACAAACTGTGAAAATAATAAACAGTAATATGAATAAAGCCTTAACAGATACAGTGGTGCAATTATTTGATCTATTGCAGATTTTGTAAGTTTGCCCACTTACAAAGAAATGAAGGGTCTAGAATTTTTAGCAAAGGTGTATTTTAAAATGATAGAGACAGAATATCTACCAAAAATCCAGAAAAAGTACAATAACAAAGGTTATAACTTGAGTTACAGTTCAGTGAGGAAAAAAAGTATTTGATCTCCAAGCAAAACATGACTTAGTACTTGGTGGAGAAACCCTTGTTGGCAAGCACAGAGGTAAGACATTTCTTGTAGTTGGTTACCGGGTTTGCACACATTTCAGGAGGGATTTTGGTCTATTCTTCTTTACAGATTTTCTTTAAATCCTTAAAGGATAAATTCACCTTTTGGACAAATATGATAAATGCACTTTTTTTGCAGGCAAAAATATGCGCATTTATTATTTTTGTCCAAAGGAGCCTGGAAAGCATTGCACCAGCGATCAGTAGATCACTGATGCCATGCAGGTCTCCTGCAGACTTGTCAGAATATCTGCTTGTCGTACAGGGATGTACAGCCAAGTAAATATTCTGACAGGAAGCTTCAATGAACTACCATGGGGCTCCACAGCGTGGTGGTAGTTCATTGAAAAATAGAATGCATGGGGGGGGGGGGGGGGGGAGTGTCCAAGATGGCGACCGGAGCGGATGTCTGTTCCTGAGCTCTGGCGCCCTGAAGTTGAATCCGCTGCCATCCAGGTGACAGCGGGCCTTGCACGGCCACCGGAGGCTCTGTGGACCCTGCCTGACATCTAAGGAGGGGGGGCACCGGACGTTCTCATCCCCCCCTCCGGCCATTCGGAGCTCCGGACGAGTTGCGGCCTACCGCGGCGTGTGAAGCCACGGTCTTTCTTGCTGCTGTGGCCGGAACGCGAGGCTGCCGCTCTGCCCTCCGGCCCCCTGCTATAGGGCCAGCCTGTGTGAATCCCCCTGGCTTCTGTGTTGGTCCCGGGGATCACACCAGGCCTACTTGGATTCCAATAGGGCTCGGAGGCCCATTGAAGTGAATGAGCGGCCCTTGATAGGGGTGGAGACTCCACACATCAGCCCCCCTTCCATAGAGGGTGAATTAGGGGCTTTTGTTGCCCCCCCCTGACAGGCCTTCATTGTTGTTGACCACCTGGCTTGATTGTCGCAGATCCTCGCGCCCCACCGGCTGCTGAGATCTTGGGGCCTACACTCGTTCTACCTGGGATTTCATCATCACTCTATGGAGGGTACCACTACAGTTACATCAGCTGCCTGTATCTATTCCTCCCTACCCAGTGTAATAATCTTTTCTACAATTTATTGGTTGCGGCGGGATGCATGATGTGTTCCGCAGCAATGGCTCTTATGTGAAAGCAACCCTGTCGGGGGACACGCACACGTAATCGGGGAAGATGACCAAGTGATCTCCCTGTGAAGATGCAGGCGACATCACCCATATGTGTTCCTATGCAGTTATGCCTTGTAGCACTTTCTCCACAGCGGCTAGTGCCTAAATAACCATGTTAGTTCTGTGTAGATGCTTCTACTTATGTCATAGTTGATGGGCGGATCTGGCGACGGATCTCAGGCCGCGGGTGTGACTCAGCTCACTGGGCGGTCCCGTGGGCAGTTTCACCCCTCCGGCTATTTTGGAGCTTCTTCATTTTTGAAATTCTAGCCTACTAAGTTTCCTATTGCCTTACTAGCCATCTATAGGTCAATTGTTCCTGGGTTTATTAGCCTAAATTGTTTGGTATTTTCTTGCCTTATATGAGCCGAGTAGTTCCAGTGGACTATGGTGTCCCCCTTCAAGCTGGTTAGTGAACTGGATTGGTGTCCTGCCCGTTATCCAGCCTTTTTGTGGGTATTTCACCCACAGTGGATTATTAAGAGGTTTGTGCTAATCTTACTGTTTCATATGAATATTGCTCGTATACCAGATGGTTTCTTGTTTTCTTCCTTTTTTCCTGTCTTTTTTTCTCTGTTTTTTGTCATGTGCGTTTTGTGTTTTTATAAAATTTTTTTTAAGGGCTCTCGGGGATCGTAGGGGAGATGATCTTGTTCCCTTCCGATTGCCATGTCGCTAAACTGGTTATCCTTGCATGTTCAGGGCATGAACTCTCCGCAAAAATGGGTTAAGATATTTAAGTTTCTCTGGGCTCGCCATGTCAACATTGCTTGTCTGCAGGAAACTCATTTTTCAAATATCTCTGCCCTAAATATTTCGATGCACGTTACCCTCAGGTTTTTTAGGCTACTGGCCCTACTAAACAAAGGGGAGTCCTTGTTGCTTTTCACAGCAAAACCCCATTTGTTTGTGTGAAGCGTATTGCTGATCCAAGCGGCAGGTATCTTTTATTACAGGGCATGATTCAGGGTATCGATGTTACAATACTAACCTATTATGCTCCCAATGTTTACCCTGGACCCTTTCTATCACATATCTGCTCCCTCCTGGCTGTCCATCAACGGGGTACTCTTCTGCTGGCAGGAGATTCCAATTTAGTATTAAACCCATCCCTAGAAAATACCCTGCAGAAAACTCTAATTATTCCACGTTGGCCAAATCCTTCACCCGTACGTTAAGTAACCATGACCTGGTAGATCTATGGCGTGAATTCCACCCCCCGGAAAAAGATTATACTTACTATTCTCACCCTCATCATTCTCATTCAACAATTGACCATGCTTTTGTGTTGCGTAAACATCTTTCCTTAGTACGCTCCGTCTCTTTCCTCACGGTTCCATGGTCCGATCATGACCCCATTTTGGTGGTTTGTCGATCTCCCTCTGTAAGCCATCCTACTCCTCTTGGATTATGAATGACTCTCTACTTTCACTAAAGGAGATTCAGGCGGAACTAGTGCGTAAATCCCAAGAATATTTTCAGCTAAACTCGGGTTCTGTCTCTTCTTCGCTGACGTTGTGGGAAGCTTACCCCATTGTACCATAGGTTGTTAGATCAGGCTCGCCTGGAACTAGATCTCTGTTTGACTGATGAGGTTGAGCGCTCTTTGCGATGGACACGCCAGAAATGGTATAGTAAAGCAAATAAACCAAATTCCATGTTAGCACGTAGATTGCGCTCTTTCGTGCACCATCCTAAACCGAATTCTCTACGCACTCATCAGAATGTTCTCACCAGTAATTCTGTAGCGGTATTGGAGGAGTTCCGGCATCGATTAGCCAGACTTTATGTGGATCCTACACGGGCTGATCCCCAATCTATCTGTGACTTTCTATCTCATTTGTCCTTACCTACTTTGACCCAGGCCCATAAGGACCTGATGGAACGTGATATTCAAGTATCGGAAGTTCTGCAATGCATTGCAGATCTGAAGACGGGCAGGTGCAGATGGATACACTGCTTCATATTACAAAAAATTGGCTGATGTGCTTGCCCCTCACCTTGCCGCTATGTTCAATGCGGTGAAGGGAGGTGCAAACTTTTCCCCTGACTCTTTGACTGCGAACGTGGTTATGATCCCCCAAACCCAATTGGGATCATTCGTCCTGGGCAAATTACAGACCAATTTCTCTTATTAACATTGACATGAAAATCCTCACTAAGATCGTAGCCACTCGTTTGAATTCTTTCCTTTCTCGCTTGATTAAGAAGGACCAGGTGGGTTTTGTCCCCCACAGACAAGCCGGAGATGCCATCAGACGTATTATACAGTTACAACATTTTGCCCATACTTGCAAAATTGAAACGATGCTCCTATCTCTAGACATCAATAAGGCCTTTGACACCTTGTCCTGGCCTTATATCTCATGTCGGTCCTCCATTTTGGCTTTGGTCCCCTCGTTCTTGCGTTGGATTTCCTCGCTATATACATCCCCTCAAGCAAAACTCAAATATTATGGTTTTGAGTCAACGTTTTCAATTGGCAGGGGAACTAGACAAGGTTGCCCACTCTCTCCCATACTATTTATCTTGGCTTTGGAATCGTTGGCGGAAGCCATTCGTATACATCCTGATATTAAGGGAATGGATGTAGCTGGTTCCCAACACAAGTTATCTATGTTCGCAGACGATATATTGTTATTGTTATCGGTTGCAAACCCGAGGGTTACTTTGCCAAACTTACTTGCGGTTTTGGATTCCTTTGCAGTTCTCTCAGGCCTCCATGTTAACCCTGCCAAGTCCAAAGCGATGTCGATTACCCTCTCACCATCATTTATGGAGACTCTGAAACATTCGTTCCCTTTTCAATGGCTTTCTGCCTTGCCGCATTTAGGAATCAAGCTTACTCCGACTTACGAAGGACTTTACCGGGCTAATTTCCCCACTGTTTTTAATGACTTGACGGAGTTGTCCTCCTGGTCTCATCCGCTTTCGTGGTTCGGTAGAATCAATGCGGTCCGCATGACTTACCTTCCCAAATTATTGTACGTGTTTCGAGTTTTACCAGTCCCTGTTCCTTCACATATATTGCGTACTCACCAGCGAAAACTCCTGTCTTTCATCTGGAGTTCCTGTCGACCCAGAATCAGTAAACAAACCTTATTTGCTCGTAAGATCGAGGGTGGGTTATCTGTCCCGAACCTTCAGTCTTACTATCTGGCGGTCAATATTGCCCCCTTAGCCCACCTCCATGCATCTCACCATTTTCCCTTGTGGGCTACTGTAGACTTGATGGACTCCCACCCGATTCCACTCTCTTCTTTACCATGGCTTCCTTCTACTCATCGACCCTCATCCCTTAGTCCGTCATTGATGCGAACGCTCCATCTTTGGGACTCCATTAAATATTCTGCTGGCCTCATTTCTGCTCATCTACCGTTACTACGATTGCTACACAAACCATTATTTCCCCCAGGTCGAGACAATCCTGGACAGTTTGCTTGGTGGCAAGCAAATGGCTTCCATGATATTCATTCCATGCTCTCTCTCCCACTTGGATACTTGCCTTTGAAACTCTGCGCTCTTCTTACAATATCCCATTGCAGGAACATTTTGGATACCTT